CTTTCATACTACTTTAATTTTTTTCGTTTCTAAAATTATCGACCCTGGTCTATAAGTGCACCCTGACCTTTTTGTGGTTTTCATGGTTAAAAAAATTTCCTGTTGTTTATAAAGAAATTTACTACAAATATACCTTCGGTGTGTAAAAAAATGATTTTATCTAAAAATCAGATGTTTTCAATGTTAATAGAAAAAGGGTCGCATTACTATTATGATTAAAATCGTAGTTATATATTCTTCAGGCAAGGGATCAATGTCAATATGATCTAGAGTAGTAACAAGATCGACAACATATCTATGCTCAATTTCCTGTGAAGTAGTGGCAATCGCATGTGCAACTGTTTCTGACCTAGATTTGGCATTTAGTTTTGATAGTAAACATCTTTGTGGTTTTTCTGTATACCGATTTTGACAAGCAAACTTGTGAGGCAAAACATCTTTTTTAAGTTTGAGGGGACCACCAACTAGTTTGCACTTCACGTAGTATTCCATATCGTTTTCGACCTAGAACAAAATACAAACTTATTTAGTCTATAAAAAAATAAGGAACCTCGTAATTTGTATTCCATCATATTTAATATAACTATCGTATAAACTATATAATAAATAAAAATAGGACAACACTAAAAAAAAATTTAAGTGTTCCACTTCATAATCAAACTTCTTCCATTATTTGCGGCCCGCAAAGTACGCAGGTTGAACAGCTCTGCGATGTGTTTAGTTTTTGCTCGAAATATCGTAAAAATATAAAAACTTTTAACATATTCCATATCTTAACCTTTATATGTATTATAAACATTTTAAAATTTGCTGCTAACTTAGGTAGGTATCTAAACTTACGAACTCACGACAGGTCATTGACTTATCTACATTACATAGGTAAGTACTTTACCCAAGTTTGGATGTTTATTTACACTGAAGTAGTTTTAGTTAAATATGTAGGTATTAGGTATTGTTTCTTCTTGAAATTATGATCATTATGCGTGGAAAGGTTCAATGAATCGTTAGTTACTTAAACACTGCGACTCGAGTAGGTAGGTACCTACATGCCTAATAGAAAGCATTTACTAGCAATAACCAAGAGCTATCATGTGAAGGTTATTACTATTTGAATACTTACATCGAAAAAATCCTCACAACAATATGCTACCGTGTTTGGTCCTAAATATGTGCTCTTCTCATAGAATTTGTTCATTTTTTTCTGATGGTAGGGTTTCTAGTTCTAGGTGCATTAAAAACAACTTTTCAGGTGTTTTTGTGGCCGTATTTTACATTGAGGCACAGCACAATATTTAATAGATGGAAATAGAGAATATATAGCAAGTAGATCCGCGAACGACGGGCACATTTGAGTAAATGTTTTGATTTCCTAAATGCGCCACGGGTCGCTCGCACGAAGATGGAAATCGTGACGTCATCAACGATGTCGCTCTCGGCCCGCGGCTTAGACCGAAAATGTTAATTTTGCGCCTTTATATCTCGGTCAGTTTTGAAGATAGAAAAAAATTAAAAACACAGTTATTCTCGTAATTTTTTGTAGAATTTTTTGGCATATAAAACAAAAAATGGTTATCTTCTCCATTATGATAATGAAAAATTTTGGTTGCTTTAAATGGGGTTTTTGGGTTTCTAATAAGATAACTTAAGAAATAATAAATTTCTAAAAATGTTATTTGCTTCTGAACCTACCGACACGTGCCGACATAATATTATTTACGTCACAGAATAAATAATAGTCTACGGCCGATATGAGGTCACTGACATGGCCGACTCAAAGCAAGCCGCTAAGCGGCGCGTGCTTCCCCGAGGTTTTTGTGTAAATCATTATACCTATCTAGACTCAGTTATCCTCCGAAAATTTTAATTTCAAAATAATAGAAATTATAATGAAATGGATATTATTTCAACCCCAATACACATAGTATTTGAATACTTATTAAATTTCCATTTTATTGCTAAATAGATCTACGAAAATATTTAAAAAGGTTATTTCATGCATAAAATATCGTGATTAATTCCAAATTTGCAACTATTTGTAGGAGAAATTTAGTATGTATTTTTCATATGAAATATTATTCGATAAAGAATATGTAGTAGGTAGTAATTATTTTTTAAATAAATTCATATTGTCGTTTATTGCTAGAATATAATAAACAAAACAAAATTTATATGTAATATTACACACGGCGTTTTGCGCGCTCTTTGAACTCAAAAGCGAAAGCCGACGAAGGACTTAGGTACTAGGAAAAACCCAAAAAACTCCACTCTTCGAGTGATTATGATTCATAAAAGATAGCTTGATCTCTGCGACAGCTCTCAGTAAAATCACGCCTATGAAGTCCTGAATTTTTTAGCAGTACAGACAGTACCTGTCAACGTCATACTTTATGGGCATGCCGACCCAATTAGTGCAAATTTAGAACTTCATAGGCGTGATTTTACTGACAGCTGTCGTAGAGATCAAGCTATCTTTTATGAACTATAAAAGTAGCGTCCACTTTATGCCAATTAACTAATTTTGATCCAATATCTATTATTTATTCTGTGCTAATATTTAGTAGTAATATTTAAAAACATGGGAAGTTTTATGAACATAAAATTTTGTCACAATTCAGTGATCAAGAATAAAAATAAAAATAAGGGTTGTTTATCGTCGGTCGATAAAACATATAAGCCGGTGTCGCAAATGTGTGACAGGTGGACATATTGAACAATATCTTCGTGGTCGTCGTATCTATTATTTATTCTGTGCTAATATTTGGTAGTAATATTTAAAAACATGGGAAGTTTTATAAACATTAAAATTTTGTCGCAATTCAGTGGTCAAGAACAGAAATAAGTATTGTTTATCGTCGGTCGATAAAAAAAATGCTAATTATTAGATTTTCAAAAACACAGCAGCATAATAGCTTAAGTATTTGTTATTGTGTGGATTTATAACACATTTTTTTAAATGTTTCTTGTTATAAAAAATGTTTTAATGTATTTTTACTAATCCTAGCTATAATTTAATTTCTTAATAACACTTACAAACGCTGTCTGAAGTAAATAAATAAATAATAACTGTTAATAAAAAAATAACAAATAAAAAAATCACGAATTTTTTTATCGATTTAAAAAATATCAAAATTATGTTATAGAGTACAATAGCTTTGCCACGTCTATGCAAACAAACAAGTATCAAGCACCAGTAGCGCGTTAGCACTGATATTGACGGTTGTGTTTTATATTGCGAAATTAATATTCCGCCGTAAGTGACTTATGTGCGATGTCTTACTCAAGCGAAGAATATTTTAATATGTTGATGTGTCTCGGGAAATGTAACTGCAATTATGCAGCAGCACGAAGACTTTACGGGGGAGTGCTTTGCTACTCCACGAAATATACAATTGCCGTCGGCGAAGACGTTCCAACGACTACACATTCGTATGTACAATACTGGCAGTGTGCATGGCCGTGATCAACAACGTACAGATTCAGGAAGACCAAGGATGTACGACGACGACATTGAGGAGCATATTCTCGACATGTTTGAGGATGATGCGACGCGGAGCACGCGCTCGGTGGCACGTGAACTAGGTGTGAACCATATGCGCGTTTGGAGAGCTCTCAAAGATGATGGCCAGCACCCGTGTCATTATAGTCGAGTTCAGTGTCTTCTTCTCAACGACTACGAACCGAGAATGGATAACTATAGATGGTTACTTGATAAGGTTGAAGGAGATTCTGAGTTTTTGAACCGCGTACTTTTTACGGATGAATGCTCTTTTGTAAGAACAGGTGTATTTAACGCTCATAATGAACACGTATGGTCAACGACAAATCCGCATTCGTATAAACCAAGCCACTTTTAACACCGATGGAAAATCAATGTGTGGGCGGGAATTATAGGTGACAAAATTATGGGTCCGTATTTCCTTGACCACAAAATAAGCGGTGAAAACTACGGACGGTTTTTGCGAGAAGAACTAAGCAATGAACTTGACGAAATAAGTTTAGACCTCGTATGTCGCATGTGGTTTCAACACGATGGTGCTCCACCGCATTTCTCCCGTTGTGTAAGAAGATTTTTTGGATACTGAATTCAATTTCAGAATGGTGAAAGATGGATTGGCCGCGGTAGACCGGTCAACTGATCACCTGATCTCACACCTTTAGATTTTTATCTCTGCGGTACGATTAAGCAGACTGTATTCCAAAAAACATGCGATACCGAGGCAGAAATGCGTATGCGTATAGTCGCAGCCTTTGAAAAAATAAAGTCCGAAATGTCTGTTGCAACGCGTGCGTTCAGACATTATAAGTCGGTGTCACAAATGTACAGAGGTGCAAGGTGGACATATTGAACAACATCTTCGTGGTCGTCAAGTAGACATAGTGATAAATTAGTGTTTGACTATAACAGCTGTGATGTGACGAGGTCACGACCTCAGTGTGCAGTTAGTGTAGGTAAGACGCGCGCCCCGTCTTTGATGTACGTCACCGTCGGCTGCCGCCCGCCGCCCGCCGCCCGCCTCTCTCGATAATTCCAGGCAGAGGTAATCAATCCACATAAAATTTACAAAAATTATTTAATTAAAATTTAATTTATTTTTATGTCGAGTTTTCTGAAGTAAAGTTATTTCTATACGTTTGAATACTGATTCTGATAACGCACTTAACGGGAACCACAGGGTTTTTGTTATATATTGTGTGTGTTTGTAATATATATATATATATATATATATATATATATATATATATATATATATATATATATATATATATATTAACCTCCTCAGTCCTGAGGTGTTGTTTTGATAGATATTGATACAATTTTTGATAGGCATACTTAGAAATACATTTTAAAGCAACAAAAATATACTTTGTATTTTTTTCTATTTATATATTTGTTTTATTACGTGTCCCCTAGAGGGGACTTTCGGTTTAAGTGTTATGAAAAAGATATAAATAAAACCTTAAAGCTCAGTGAAAGAAAGAAGTATTTATTCAAATAAAAATTAATTTTGTTCGTGATATTGTTTGTAACAATTCCGCCCTGCGACTAAACATAGATGCATGCCGCAAGTTGAGCAGTATACCCTTGCTTTCTTGCTCTTGCAACCTGGCAAGCGGCATCTGTGATCACCTGACTCGTTATCAATCATTGGTAAATGACCTACCATGGCTGTTCTCAGCTGCAATGGGGGTTGAGGGACATATTTCCTCTTGCGGCTAGTTTGACTAGCTTCTGCTGGCACATCATCAACTTCCTCGTACAGGTGTATTTGCTCTCTTGCTGGAGTGAAATAGAGCAAAGAATTTGCTATTTCGGCTTTGAACTCCAAGTAATCCAGAGTGTCCTTTTTAGGAGTATCCAACATTTGGGCTTCTTTCCGGTACACCACCCATCCTGCAGCTGCCGCAAAGTCGAATAAATGGAATATCAATCGAACCGTCCATTTTTTTGAGCGTGCGCTTATTCTATAGAAGCTAATAACCATATCCAGCATGTCCACTCCCCCCATATTTTCGTTATATTGCTGAATAGCATAAGGCCGATTAATCTCGATGTATTGCTTCGTCTTCTTACACCAGCGCCGGCATTTGTTTTCAGGTAACTTTGAATCTGCAGATGATGCCATAACTACAGGTTTGTTGTCAAACCACTTCAAACAAGCTATTACGCCATCATTCCTTACTAATTGGTCAGAAGAACCTCGTCCCTGATCTTTTAACTGCTTATCAGTTTTAAAATTGCATGCTTTAGGGATTTTTCACTGCTTGGGAGTGCCAGTTCCTTGCATTTTTTTCTCTGTGTATAGTTTGCCTAACAGCTCAATTGATGTAAAATATCTATCCATGTATAGCTTGGAACCCTCAGGTAAATTATTAGCCAATCTCATTACGACTTTCCCGCCAATATCCAGACCTTCAGTTTCACCAGTCGGTAGTATGCTATCACCCTTGCCCTCATACAAGAAAAAATCTAAGGGTATACCACCCGGGCTGGTACAAACGAAATTCTTCAGCCCACAAGGGTTTGGTTTTCCCCTGATAAACTGCCGCATTGATACTTGGCCCCAAAATGGTATTATTTGTTCATCAATGCTGACTTCTTGAGGTCTGGGATTTTCTAGGCAAGCTTTTCGTACCGTTTCAATTAGGGGTTGCACTTTCCAAAACTTATTTTGTTTGGCAGCCGTATCGACATCAAGGTCATTCACTAGTTTCAAGTTAGTCCTTATCCGAAAAAAACGATCTCTAGTCATACGATCAGCTATCATTGGGATCCTAGTTTTACTCATCCAATACATTTTAATTCTTGGCAAACCCAAATAGCTCATAGCGATACATATGCCAAAAAAAGATTTTCATTTCATCTTTTGTTGTGCCTAAATTCTTCCCTGTTTTATGTAAATAAGTTTGATTTGAAAAGGAGCTGAATATTTCGAATATTTTTTCAGGAATATATCTGGTAAAATATTCAAACGATTTTTGTAAAACTCTAACGTGACTGGATGCTAGAGGAAGATGATAAACTCCGGGTGGAGATGGTGCGAAGTCGTCTAGGTGCTTCCAAAAAATCCGACGATTCATTTGAGAAGGCTGAGGAGCAGAAAATGTGGAGAGTGGTACTTCATCATCACTTGAATACTCACTAGAGCTTTCTCTACCTTCTTGGAGAGTTTCTGCATGAGCAGTAAGAGAGATCGAGTCAACCTCATCGGAAATACCTTCGATGATTGAGTCATCATCTCTCAGCTCTAAAGCCGACTGTATCTGTTCTGAAGATAAGCCTAGAAAATAATAAGAAACTTTTAACTACAATGTATTTATTAAATACATATGTAAAACAAATATATATAACGTCGTGGGGGCTACACTATACCTCCCAGCGACAGAAGAATATAAAAAAGAAATTAATTTATAAAAATAAATATAAAACTTAATACTAATAAAAATTAATTACAAAAGTCATAATTGGTACTTATATTCTACGGGTAGATCGGGTACAAAAACGAAATGTATACATTTTTTTAAACTTATACTAATAAATATAAAAGTTACGTTTATTATGAATATAAATTATAAAAATGCAATCTTATTACATTTTTTTTGTGTCATTTCTCTCGCGTACACGATTTGAGTACATACATATTCAAGATTATGACCAATATTCCTATACAATTCATAATAAATTATCATTTCCCTCATGAACAATACATTAAAACTTATTCCGCATTTAATCGTCGTTTTAAAATCTCAAAAAATTAATCGGTTATTAAGTTTTCCATACTCTCAGTAGTTCAGGTTGATTATGCTAACCTCCGACAATTTTCTTTACCTACAGCACAAACCTACCCACTGTCAATACTTTTTATTTATAAATAATGTATTCCTTATCTTATCCATAAATTTTACTCACGTCTTTTACAAATTTATATCATATAGACTCGTATAAAATTTTATGTTATTTTATTTTTTATCATTGTCAGTCAGAGCCTGAGGCTCTCAATATGGGCACAAAAAATTACAACAATTAATTGTATACATTATGTAATGAGTTTCAAAATCATATAAAACGAAGAACATATTTTCGTAATTCACACAAGTAAGTACTATTTTCTGAGAAAATAAACAAATTATAAGATTTTTTAAAACTTTAGAAGTTCAAGCAACATAAAACCGAAAATAAATTACTACAAATTAGTAGTTAGTTTGTACCTGTTCCAGCTCACGAGCCAGAACTGTCACATACCAGTCCTCGTCGGATGGCGGTCGGTCGACGGATCCTAAAAACACAGGTTTTGGCATTCTCTGATCACGAATCCTTTTTTGTGTAGGATGCGTGGTTCCGGAGATGTGCAGATCAATTAACTAATATCTAATTAATATCCGGTGGGGCCTGCACCCTCATTAACATTTTATTGTTCAGCCTTTCCTCTTATCTATTGATGAAATAAATTGTATTTGTGAATGTATTCATGACGTTTTACAAGGAAAGGTATGTCTTAAAGATCAAGATAAACAAAAATTTAATACACACAAAAATATACTCCGTGAACTGGTGCGTAAGTGTAAACATCAACTAAGAAAAAAATATAATTATACAAAAAGGAGGGGCTTTCTTACCAATAATATTACCAATAGTATTGAGTGTATTAGTAAGTGGACTAGCCAGTTAACATGGAAAACGCAAAGAAATTGATACTTATCAAACCTGAATTGATCGAAAAATTAAAACAACAAAATAAGGTTAATAGCAATTTGTCTCGATTAGATATTGAAATGCATAATATTATGAACGGTAAGACGGAAGACCGAAAGAAGTCGATGCTATATTTACAAACACTACAAAGATACCTTCATTTTACCGAAGAGGATCGTCAACCACTCAGATTACCAGTTTATTCTGATACGTCTAATGAAGATTCAAATAATTCTTAAATGATGATGCTGAATCTTTGTTGGAGGGGAATAAATCTATAAAAGTAAAGAAAATGATGCAAATCCACTTTACACATCAGCTCAGTTACTCAGTTTAATACCAAAAAAAATTATAATAAAATAGGTCAGTTATTATTAAACTAAGTTGGAACAAGTAAAAGTAAAATACATTGGGATAATAAAAGCACAGTCATAACTGATACCGAAAAAATCCTGCAATTAATATTGTTTATTTACTAAATGATTCACTAAGACCCTTAAAAAGAAGTGATCCGATAGGGTGGGATAGATTTTCTAAAGCATTAAAAGAAATTAAAGTATCACTTACTTATATTGGAAATTCAAAGAGATGTTAGTTTATTAACCAGCTTCAAGTAAAAGATCTGAACAAACCCTCTGAGATTGAAGTTAAAGAGTTTTCAACACCAAGCAGTGGAGATACAAAATCTATAACTACAATAGAGTTTTCTACACCGAGCAGTAGAGGTAAAAAAATCTATAACTAAAATACTTAATAAGCTTGATTGGGAAAAATGAACCCCGTACTAGAAGAAATTAACAGAATTTATTATGATCCATCTAATCCTGCTGATAAATTACGAAAAGCCTTCATGGCTTTTCGTAATTTATCTAAAAAAATAAAGGGTAAAATGGAAAAAAAAGTAAGTAAAGGAATGGTTACAATCAGAAGAAACATACACATTACATAAACCCATTCGAAAAAAGTTCCCGCATAATACCTAGGTGGATTGAAAAGTACTCGGCCTAACACAGATCCATTCAATTCTAAAAATCAAATCTACCCACATTATTTAGTTCAGTTCAGACTAGTTCATTGTGTGAAGTTCGAAACGTGTGCGATAATTAGTTGTGATTTTATAAATTTATTAACAAAGTAATCGGACATAATTTCCGCGAATGGAGCAAATCGAGCAGCGTGCCGTCATTAAGTACCTCCATAAGAAGGGGCTATCATCAAAAGCCATCCATGATGACATGGTCAGTACATTAAGCGATTGTGCTCTGTCATATTCATCCGTCAAAAAATGGATAGCAGAATTTAAGCGTGGTAGAGAGAGTGTGAAAGATGAACCCCGCTCTGGAAGGCCTTCGACGTCAACTACTGACGAAAATATTAAAAAAGTACTTGATTTAATAATGGGAGACCGCAGATTAAAAATTAGAGAGATAGCCGAGATTATAGGCATCTCTTATGAACGAACTCAAAACATCATTGTCAACGAGTTGGTTTTCTACAAGATGTCTGCGAGGTGGGTTCCGCGACTGCTTTCAGTTGAACAAAAAAAGGACGCAATTGACTATTTCACGCGACTGTTTGGAGTTATTTGAAGCCGATGCAGATGATTTTTTGAATCGTTTTGTTACTATGGACGAAACTTGGGTTCATTACTGTACACCGGAAACAAAAAAACAATCAAAACAGTGGAAAAGACCTGGTTCACCACCCCCTAAAAAGGCTAAGTCGATTTTGTCGGCAAATAAGGTGATGGCTTCAGTATTCTGGGACTCGAAAGGTGTGATTATGATTGATTATCTTGAAAGGGGTCAGACTATAAACTCTGATTACTACTGCACCTTACTACGTCGTTTACGAGAGGAAATAAAAGAAAAACGTCGAGGAATGCTTAGAAGAAAAGTCCTGTTTCATCAAGATAACGCCCGTGTTCACACGTCAGTACAGTCAATGGCTGAAATTCACAACTGTGGCTTTGAACTGTTACCGCATCCGCCGTATTTACCTGATCTGATACCATCAGACATCTTTCTGTTCCCTAACCTAAAAAAGCACTTGGGAGGTCAAAGATTTTCGACAAACGACGAGGTCAAAGCAGCTGTAGACGCATATTTTGACTCTAAGGAAGAATCATTTTTTTTCAACGGTCTAAATGCTTGGAAGGGGAGGTGGCAAAAGTGTATTGAACTTGATGGTGATTATGTAGAAAAATAAAAATATAACTGATTTAGTATGTGTTTATTTTCTTGGTTAGGCCGAGTACTTTTCAATCCACCCTCGTAGGTCCATTCTATCAAATATTAATGAACTTTGACTGCTGCTGATTTAAGTGATATGCGAACTTATTCTCAATATAATGATGGTTTTAACTACATTCTTTGTGTTTAGTAAATATGCTTTTGCAAGAACAATGAAAAACAAAAACTCAGAAATAACTAGAGAATGTTTTAAAAGTACATTTACTGAAAGTAATTTAACACCTATTCACATAAAATCTGATAAATGTACAGAATTTGTGTCAAAAGATGTACAAAAATACTTTAAATCCAAAAAAGATTAATTACTTTACCACTAGCAATCATGTCATTAAGTCCAGTATTGTTGAACGATTTCAAAGAACTCTAAAAATGAAAATGTGGCGTTATTTCATTCATAATAATGCTTACAGATATATTGATGTTTTACAATAGTTAATATACTCTTATGATCACAGCTTTCACTCTAGTATTAAGATGTGCCCATGTGATGTAAATTCCAACAATATTATGACAGTTTTGACCAATCTTTATGATAGAAGGTTAATCAAACTTTCTTTAAAAAATCCAAAACCAAATTTCAATGTGGGGATTATGTTATGTTGTTATGTGTAACTATGATGTGAATTAAATTGGAGTTATGAAATATTTATTATATCTTCAATAATTGATAGATTACCATGGGTTGTTTATACAATAACAGGTTTACAAAATGAATTAATAATTGGTACTTTTTATGAAAGAGAATTACAGAAAATCACTTACAACCCCATAAAATAGATAAAATAATTGACACTCGTTATTCAGGTAACAGGAAATAATTATAAGTAAAGTGAAAAATTCATCCAGATAAATT